TTTGTCACTAAAAACTGTCCGGCAAAACGCCGAAGATTAAAATTTCAAAACGTTATAACTTCTGATCCAATGAAGATATTTCAATTCTCTTTTTGACTTTGGAGATAATATAATGTTGCATTTAAGAAACAATAAACAAATTTGCCATGATACTGAAACAAAATTTTCGCGCCAAATTGTGACGTCATTTTCCCCGCCAAAAAATACGAAAAGACATAAAACGTACGGTTTCTTGCAATGAGGACGTCTGGCTCATTATGCGAGATTTGAAACCAGTTGTATTATCTTAGATCTTATATTGTCTAAAATTGGATGTCACTAATATTTTGTATAACGTTTACAAATAAAAACGATTTTGGACGATAGTTTTTGTGCTATAGTTAACGTTATAGACAGTAGAATGAAAGCACGTCTGCAACAAATATAAAAAGATGTACTTTTATGTTATTTTGGGGGTTTTTTAATGCACAGTCGTGATCACTCGTGGTCATTCGTGGTCACTCGTGAACTTTTAGTCAAGATCCGCTACTACAGCTAGGCTGAGTTGTTATATACCATCTTTTAAAAAACAGGCAGTTCATAACGTACGATTTTATTATTCGCTTTAGTAACTGAAAAATAACTGCGAATTCATAATAATACAGTGTACTGTCTATCACCGGTTAACATATGAAAATTTAGCCATAGAGTATGTGTGCAGCCGATCCCCCTCTGGCCCCTCACGTTGTAAGCCTAGGCGTACAAGACAGGGGAGAAGAGGGAGGGGCGACTGCCTTCTAAAACTATGGAAAACCATGGAAATCCGCGCAAATGCTAGAAAAAATCAAGAAAATTTGGGCAGATTTATCAGAAAATATGTTAAGTTCAGGTCATTTCATTACAATCATCCATGAAAATTCGGGCAAACTTTCAACTGCCCCCGGAAGGCATCAGCCGCGTACGCCTATGGTTGTAAGCCAATAGGATTATATATTGGTTACAATGACTACCGTCTACAAGAACATTCCATACAGCATGACTAAAATGTTGGAAATATCTAAGGAAATTCCACAGGGTGAGTTAAAAAAACAACACGGATTTTCCATGGGATGGCTCAAAATGTAAGGAATACCTAAGGAAATTCCCAGGGGGAGGTTCAAATATCGACAGGGATTTTCCAAAGGATGGCCAAAACTGCAGAAAATATATGAAGAAATTCCACAGGTCTGCTAAAAAAATCAAGATGGAATTTCCAAGGGATGGCTAATATTTTTGAAAAATCCAATGGTTTAGCTAAAATACACCAAGGAATTTCCATGCCATGGGTGGAAAATCATTGAAAAATGTGCGGAAATTCCAGGGGAGAGGGAAAAAAAAGTATATGTCCTCAATAGGGGGGTGCGGATTAATAATGCGATCAGCCATTAAGGGCCTGTAGCTTGCCTACTTTTGTCTGAACAAAGTTCATATAAACAACACTGTGAAGCAATAAACAAACCTTTTACTTCCTCTAGTCAGAACATCAAAATTAAAACAATAGATTAAATGATTTCAAACAGGTCAGGCTTTGATTAGCCTGCTCACAGACGTTGTAGTTCTTACGCCAAGCGACGAAATACTACCGTCTGCTTACCCGAGCGCCAGACTGAATTCCGCTACGTCGACCAATCAGAATTTACCTTCCAAATTCTGGAAAGTGACGTCAGTTGATTTAGGAGCGGAATAAATATAAATATATATTTTGAAAGCAGTCGTCGGTTGAATTTTGGTCAAAATTGCACATAAATTGAATTTAAAGATACTGATACTTGTCCAGGTAATAAAATGCACCATTAATGATCAGATTTGGATATTAAAGATGTTCGGTTATATTTAAAACGCGGACAGGATTGGCATATTTTTACTGTATGAATTAAGCCAGACAGCATCAAATGCCGAATATATTTCGCTGAAATTTTAACGGTTTATCTTTATAAGACAACAGTGAACAGAACTCGGAAGACAGAAAATTTTATTTAATACTGTGGCTTAGAAAGCTAAATATTAGCTTCAAAGAAAGCTAATTTGCTGTTTGAGCAACCACTTCTGAATGGAAACCGTAAACACAAACCCGAGACTTGTATTAAAATTGCGCTGTGATGAATTTTCCGATTCGCCCAAACTTCGAAACGTTTATACTCTAACTTGGCTATACTTTTCTACATGACAATGAGAGCATAATCTTTTAGAAGTTTTCGTCGAAGTCCTGGCATATAGGAAGTATCAAGAGCAACATTTGGACATATCCTGATATAATCGAGTTTCCCGATTGATTGTTTATCATTGTTAACAAAAATTTAAATTTCGCCTACTGCATTGCTTTAGCACTTTATATACACCGATTGTTTGCTGAACATGCGAGAAGATGATCACAATATTATTCTACGTAAACATCGTGAAGTTCAACGCTATAGTTTCCAAAATATATCCACACAAGTAAATAAATTTCAAGTTTCAACCCAAACAATATATTCCAATGCATGTGCAAGGGCTTTCTCCAGCAGCTAATCTCTCAGTAAGGCGGCTTCCAATTGGCTCTAACTTTTTTGAACACTGCCAGATGATTGGCTCCTCAAACAAAGGGAATTGAATATCCAGTTCGGGTAAGCAGACGGTAGTATTTCGTTGGTTGGCGTAAGAACTACAACGTCTGTTAGCAGGCTAGGCTTTGATAGGATGTTTTGTAATCTTAAGAACTCTTTAAAATACCTTACAAAATGCAGGGAATGGCATTTCCGATTGTTTAGATTTCGGGTTAGGGGCATGCACCCAGACCCCTCTAGGAGTCTTGTGCCTTCAAAGTTCAATCATTTTTCGGCCACCTACTTGTAAACTTAATGACAAATGTCACAAATTCACTGCTTCAAAAGAGTAATATGCAATAATTTGTACATATGTTATAAAATAATTATTAAAACAGATTATAAATGAGTAGGTGGACAATAAGACTAGAACAATATATTACCTTAGTTGAATAATTTGTAAAAATTTATACTAATATATACAGTAAATCACTATTACACAAAATTTTGGTTCACTTCAAATATACAAGACATTTGGTAGGATCAACTTTGAGTTATCGTGGTTTGAGAGACAACAACGGCTAGAATCAGAGCACACTGACGTACGTAGTGAATAAGTACACTATTCACATCTGAAATTGGCTGTCAACCAGGGGTATAGGAACCGGGGGGCCAAGGCCCCCCAAGTTTTCAGAAGATGCAAAAAGTGCCCTTTTTACGGTGGCAAAGTGCCCTTTGCCTTTGTGAAAAATGTAGTTCAGATTGCATAATTTTTGACTTACAGATGTTGCAAAGCAATATCAGTGAGTCTTTGTGGTTACTTGAGTGTGGGGCAGTTAAACAATGAAATGACCAGCCTGCTTAGCGTGCACTCTTTGCCTGAGAATCGGGCCTTTCAGAACCAGAAATCGGGCTGGAGCACGACAAATGGCAAAATTTAAAACTTTGAACAGCCATACAGTTTACCAATGTTCTCAAAACACAAGGAGCTACAAGGACGTACTGTACTGGCATTATTTTGATGCTACAATGCTATTCGATTGCTCAATAATGTCATTCCACAAACCTTTTGCTGTTCGTTCTTAATAACTTTATCAACGTGTAAAGAAAATATTTCTTGGTATATAATCCTTTGCACATACTCATATAGGTAAAATCTTCTGGCATCCAACAGTTGGTTTACAAAGCGTTTGGAGAGGAATAAGAACTAAGTTTAATACCCTTACGTCAATATTGTACTATACAGAGGAAATATCAAAATTTGATATTTCCTCTGTATGATATTTCCTTTGATATCTCCTTTGTCTTTAAGACTTGGTCTTGGGAACTGTGGGATGGCATGAAATATCATGGAATCTTGCAATAACATTCTATTTTGATGTGACAGAATGATCAAAACTAACAAATCACATGTTAGTAGATATTGAATCACTATATAGTAGGTCAATATCTGGACTTGTAATTGACAATTGGACGTAAGCCTTAGGGCCTACTATTTAAGACATTAATATCTAGGTTATATTGTCTATATATACAGTATTAAGATATTTACTGGTATTAAAGCATGCAGTTTCTTCAGTGTTTATAATAACTTTAAAATATCTGCTGGTTAGCAAAGTCAACCGTTCGGGCATATTCATGCACCAGCATCAAAAGCACGACTTTATCTTCTCTGCATGGATGAAAATATTCTTTCCTTTTCCCTACCTCTCGAATGATCGACAATGCCTTCTCATATGCGTGATAAGTCAAATAACATGGGTTTTGATTTTCCCTTTGGCAGTACTAGCTGTAGAATTTGTCGAGTGCTTAATACTGCGTCGATACTTTAATCCTTCAATCTAAACGACAAGTATAAGTCAAATATTAAGTCTAAGGCATCTCACTACATATTGTTTAATTGGACACAGTATAAAGGACTTACTTCTTCAACTGAACGCGATATTTCTTCAGTTAATTCATCCGCGTTGATTTGCAGCAGCTAAATAGTTTGATGAAAACCGCCTCCGTCGTTGTATCTGCGTCTCCAGCACCCAGAATTGGGTGAATTTTGCTTTCTGAATCGTATGCCGAACTTGTCGAAGCCATAACAAGGACAAAAATGCCTTATTTTAAAATTTATAAGCACAATATCATATTTCTGTAATACTACGCTATAGTAATTTCTGAATTTGATGCACCCGAAATGTCACGTGACGTACCTTTCCAACATCTGAAATTAATTAGCTTGAAACCCTTTGAAGTTTGCCGGCCTTCCAAACCCTGTCCTCTATTAACTATGGTCTAACTATCATTGACAACCTGCAATATATTACACGTTATGTCTTCATTGTCTTTGGGAGTGCCGATTACAGGAAGCAATTTCAGTCCAGAAGTGTCAGCCTAACATAAACTATCATTGTTTTCGTTTTTTTCTCACTCGAAACTTTCCTATACTATTTATACTAATAATGTTGGGAACTAATCGTCTATATCCATATCTTCCAGATTATAGTTCGGGAATAATTGTTCAACATCATGATGCCGTTCCTTAGATTTCATGTCTTCCCAAATTGCTTTGAAATGGACGCCAAACTCCATCAAGGAACACTGTCCGCCCTCAACGTTTAGTGTGTATCCTTGCGTATGCATAGCGACAATGTCTCCATTCAGATTAAAAACAGGAGAACCACTAGCACCAGTAAACAGCATTGTGTCGTAGGGCAGACAATCTTTGTACTTTTCGGCAGAGCGTAATAACTGATCATTGGTCATGTGTAAACTAGGATTTGGGTTATTTATGTGTCTTTCTATACATTTATTATGTCTTTGTTTAAGCTTTTCACGCCACGAGTAACTGCTGACAACAACGCATGTTTCTTCCTCCATTTCATTTCCCTCCGGATGGCCAACGATTATAACCAGACCTTCTTGCAATTGACGATTTCGGACGATTGAACCAAGAGGAACACGATCTTGAATACTTTCGCATTCTTTCAATCGTAAAACTTTATAATCCAAGCGAGAATCTCCCAGCTGAGGGTCCTGTTCTTCATCAACTTCTACAGTGACAACATGTTCTGTTTGTCCAGAGCGTAAGTAATCAAATGAAACTGTGATAGGCAAGTTGGGATTTTGCTGTTTCTCTCTTTCTGTGTTGATCAACATATAAACATGATAGTTCGTTATTCCCAACATGCCTCCCACAAGCCAACAAGTTCCTCGAATTTCCGCACACGAAATTTGACCAATTGATTTGACGTAAGAAGCTAGAGGCTCAAACACTCTTAACTTGCTGATCGTCATCTACAAATTTTCCGTCATTTCTACGAAATTCACCTCTATTTTTCGCCGGATTTAACAGGCTCCGGTGAGCTGACGACTTAACATTCTTCGTCATGGATTTACGAAGTTTCTCAGTTAAAGGATCCTTGCTCGATGCTTCATGAGTATACACGTACGATGCAGAAAATTCTTTGATGTATTTTTCAAGAAGAGCAAAGTCTTCATTTTTCAACCTTTTTGCTCTGCTTGGGTTACACGCCTTTTTAATCACCAAGTTTACCCAATCATCTTAACAGATAAAAATAAGGATTTTCATTCAGTAATAACGTTTCGTTCCCATATACATGCATATATAGTTATACTGTACTTAACATTGTAAATATTCAATTCCAAATTCTTGGGTATACAGTATCTATATTTTAGCACATACTCGGGAGGTGCATGGATAGTGTTTTTCTCGCAATTTGATTGGTTGCTCAGCTCTGATACCCTTCGCGTTTCGTTCTGGTTACACATTTTTGTACTAAACGAGCAAATGTTTGTGCTAAACGAAGTTGTGGTTTTGCCAAAGACGAAGAAAACCACAAAGTTTTGTTTAACAGTGTATAGAGGTATTTTTAGAGCTATTTCTGACGAATAAAAATGATAAAATTACCAAAAGGATATTACCTCAACGCTTTGCGTTTCGGTGAATATCCTTGCACTATTCACATCTACAAGGGGTTGATGATCACCAACGAATTATTTGTGTTGACATATTTTGATAGAAGTAAATAAAACAAGTTACAAAAATAAAATAAAATAAGTCGTTCTCGGATATGCCAATCAGATCTCTAGCTTCCTTTGGTCGTCTAATCCAGAGCACAATTATCAACGAGAGACCGAGTGAACATGGATCTGGGGACCAGAATGATTCCATGCATGCATCTGAAACAAGCAGCGTGCAAGTGATGTGTTTATTTCTCGTACAACATTGATCATGCTGATTGTTTCAGTAATCAGTCAGATGAATAACGTCGTTTCAAAATAACAGAAACTAACATCTCATTATTATATTTGTCAAGTTGGTTGCACTACTCTCTCAAAGAAAATGAATATCTCAACAACGAAACGTAGAAATAAGGGACCTATAAAAGAGGTTACAATATAATTTTAAGAGATCATTCATGTATAGGTTCATAATAAACAGTTTTCTATCGTATGCACTTTAATAAGAAAGGTCGAAATTTATTCGTTATTAAAATAACTAAACAAAATAAATATTTTAATTTGTGGATATCTTTCCATGCTTTATTGCGGAGGTTAACCATTCATTGGTGGTACTAAGTAAGGGTTAGGGCATGGTCACTTGTGCTGTATGGGATAGAGTGCTGAAAATTAGATAAAAATCACGAGGGGCATTTTAACCATCTTAGAGAATGGCTGCATCTACGAAGGTATTTAAGCTATCCAACGAAATTATTTTCTTTGAGTGACTGGCTGAATGCATTTTGAATATATTATTGACAATTTTAAAATGAATGATTTTCATTTAAAGATACATCATTTGGGAAGCACACGTAGATATTTTTGGTGCGTGGGCTTGAAATTACCAAATATTTTGACGATCAAGGGAGATAAGACAGAAAGCATTTTAGTCAGTGTAGTAAAGCTTTCATGGAGGATTATATCTCACACAAATATTGCAGTGAGTAAAGATTAATTAGCATGTTAAAGATCTGAATGTCAGTGTCCCGAGTGAGCGTAGAATATTCAATGTTCTAAATGCTGTAGATGCTATCTTCATTGAAAGCAGTAGTGAATGGACTCCAGGGCCGTAGTGTAGTAGTCAGTGTATATAAACATATACTTTACTAATATCAACAACAATATAAACAATACATGAACAATAAACGAATCAAACATGTTTTTTCTTCTACGACATTATCCTGATATAAACTAGCGGCCATTGAGTCCATGTGCTCTCTCCCCAGTCCCTCTACCTGTTCGCAGGTTGTACCTCCCTAAAATCCTACTACATTCCATTCCTTTTTAAAAAAGAGAACATATGTTTGGTAATATAAACGTATTTAGCTAACAAGGAAGACACTTGTTCTTATAACAAACACAAAGTAATTGTAAATCTTCAAGTTGCTTTTGAGCGTTCTGTCCAATCTTATACTTATCGTCTAACTCAATAGAACATAACACTCTATTTGACTGTACAAGTTCAGTAGCAGGTTCGTCTTCTACTTTGACTGGTCTCAGGGCTTTGTTCCACTTTGTCTTCTTCGATTTTCTATCCCAAAGTTGTATATCGTACACGTCTTCGTCTTCGTAGTAGCTGACGATTCTTCCTATACCATAGCGTCCTCCTAGACTGTCTAAATGGTATTTCACTGGTTGACTGGGATCCAACAGTTTCAGAGAGTTTTTTCCACCGGTTGCGTCAGGCATTTCAAACTGTATCGACGGTGTATGAATCAGCAACTGACGAATTCCACCAATGCTTTGAAGAATCTTTTTGAACTCTGGATTTTTTGTGTAAAGGTATTTGCACGCTTCTCCGGTTGACGACTTATAGTCTTTTTGTGATTTTAACCAAGCATGCAGCTCTTCGATCATGATTCTTATGTCGTCATCAAAAAAGTCTCCAAGCTTTTCGTAGACAATAAACGAACCATTTTCAAACTGCAGGTTGCGATGGGATTGTGAGATTTCGGTCGGGGTGTCCTCTTCTTCGTTTAGATTGGTTTGTCCGGGGTTAGATTCGTTGACTGACCAGGGTTCAACTTTGATCAGTTTGTCCACATTGGTTGCGTCGAGTATTTTCGCAGTTTCGACATGTTCCAATCGATAATTGTCACCATTTGGCATTTGTTCAACAATGCGGTATGGGCCAGTCCATCGGGGTAGCCATTTGGCTGCGATTCCTGTTTGACCGCTGCGCTGAGTCCGACGAACTACAACAAGGTCACCAACTAGGAATTGAGTTGTTTTTCGGCCTAGATCGTAGTAATCTTTCTGCTTGTGTCGAAGTTCTTTCGTGATAGCAGCCATATATTCACGAGCTTTAGAGAGTTTCATGAGCAATTCTTTGGCATAAGTTTTCTGGTCTTGTGGTATCACAACAACTGGAGATAACATTACGTCAGTTGGCATAACCGGTTCTCGTCCAAATATAAGAAAGAAAGGAATAAGTCCGTCTGTGCCAGTGATGACAGAAGTATTGTGTACAAATGCACTTGGGTATATCCAAAGATCCCATTCTTGTGCAAACTTTGTAATATACATTGAAACACTGTCGTTAATGAAACGGTGAACACGTTCGGTTCCTCCGTTCGCTTGCGGTCGATA